ACCACCACCACCACACACACACACACACACACACACACACACATACACACACACACACACACACGCACACGCACACGCACACGCACACACACACACGTGTGGGTGTGTATTCGCGTGAACGCAAACGCACGTGTGAGCGGGCACTCATTGTCGGCGGGGAGTTTTTCGCCAATGTGCTGGATGTAATACGCTGAGGTGGTGATGATGATGGCGATGTGAAGAATGGAGGAGGGGAATGACATGAGTTAAGATGGATTGACTGTGTCGCAAAGTCGACGAGTAATGCTTGGACACATTGACGCAGTGGAAAACACGCCAAACACGCCACATGCCACTGCAACGTAACACCATGCGTGTACCGTAAATGACGGCAAAGCTGTAGAATATGCAGAGGTTTGCAATCATGGACGCAAACGCGATTGTCTTGAATGTTTTGATCCACGAGAGAAGGACGAATATTGGCGATATCATCAGCGCATACACGCGATAGGAAAACCGGTCCGAGAACTGCAGTAGATGGTCGTGGAGACAGCGGAAGTGTATGTATGTGTGTGTGTTGTGTGTGTGAATGTGTGTGTGTGTGAATGTGTGTGTGTGTGTGCGTGTGTGTAAGTGACAGAGGGAGGCCGCAAACAAAAATGAGTTCGAATGCCAAAAACAACACAAGCACACACACACACATTCACACACACATACACACAAACACACACACACACACACACACACACTCTCTCTCTCTCTCTCTCTCTCTCTCTCTCTCTCTCTCTCTCTCTCTCTCTCTCTCGCTCGCTCGCTCGCTCGCACACACACACACCTCTTGCAAGTGCTTTGCGATGAAGATGATGTATACGCAGCAAAAGCCAAACTGCGTCACAATCAGCGAAGCGTTGACGGCTATTCGCCCGAAGCGCCCAAGTACAATGTGCGCCTGCGAGCGGGAGGAAATGGTGGGCGGAGATGAGAGGTGATGCATTTCACGTCACACACATGCACACACACACACACACACGTGCATACACGTACGCAGCCGCGTATCCACGTACCAGTTCACCAAAGCTGAGGTAGCGCATGCGGCGCTCACGACAGACGCGATCCTTGACGTGCACGAGCATGAAGATACAGCGGACACAGATCACAGCAATCGCTGCCAGGCACACCGGCCCTACCTACAACCGTGGCGAGCGGAGGGTGAGCATTGGAGTGAGCAGGTTGCACCAAGTGGTTGGAATGAACAGCACGCAAACGCCGCGCAACACGCAAGTATACATACAAGCAGGCACGCAACAACACAAAACCGCGCATGCACATACGCACATGCACGCACCACATAGCCGCTGTTGGCGAGCGCAAAGGGAAGGCTCAGGAGGCCCGGACCCGTGTTGCCTTTGATGAAGTTGGCGAGCGTTTCCCAGAAGCTGAGATTCAGAGAGAGGTGCCCACAACAAGGACACGCGCAGTGATGAGATGGAAAAGGAAAACCGTGTGAAACGAACTGCCAGGAGAAAACGGGGTGCAGGGATTGAACTGTGAGCGTGGCAAGCAAGCAATCAAGAGTGCTGCTTTCCACCACACCTCGTGCCACTGCCTGACCGTTCCCCTTGTTGAACCTAAACAGGGCGCACATGTCGGAGTTGCAGTAGGCCGCGCATGAGTAAAAGGGAGACGGTGGGAAGCAAAGCCAGCAATACGAAGCAACTGCCACAAAAACAGCAGCGCAAACGAAAGTACGGTTCACACATTCAGAGGCCATGTGTGCACATGCATGTACACATGCATACACACACACACATGTACACACGCACACACACACACACATGTACACACACACACACATGTACACGCGCAAAACACCACAGCGCACCAAGATGGCCTTGTCGTCATCGTCGTCGTCGTTATCTCCTCCATCGTGTGCCAAAGACGTGGGCAAAGTCTTGTAGTTGATGCTTTTCTTGTAGGCTGCGGGGCTGTCGCTTGCCACCAACAAGCGCTGCTGTTCTCCCTCCTCCTCGTGACCGCCATGATGGTGCCCTGGCAGCGTCAGCTCGCTGTCACCACCATGAGCATCACCACCATCGTCGTTCTGTTGACGGCTGGAGCGCGCAGAACGCAGCATCTTCAAGTAGTGTAGATTATTTGATAAAGATACTCTTAAACATTCTGTAAATCCCCATGTAGGACCTTCAAGGTACAGACAGGAGATGATGATGGTGTGCGCAGACACACACACACAGACACACACACAGACACACACACACACACACACACACACACACACACACACACACATGCTCTCTCTGTCATGTGAACGCTGGTTGTTTAATCTGGCCAACAAGCAAGAGGAGCAACATGTGACAGCGATAAAAAACAACAACTTGGCTTGCTTGGCTTTGGATTGGTTGGTTGACTACTGATGGTGGATGGAAGTGCATGCACCCGTGTGAATAGCTGCTTGTGGAAACCATGTGTGTGTGTGTGTACGTGCCTGTGTTTGGTGGTTTGGTTGTGGAGGTGTGGAGGTGTGGGTTATTACGAGGCGTTGATGAGCTCCTTGATGGAGACGAAGACGCCGGCAATCGATCCTGCAGAACGAAACAGCACATGCAAACGCAAACAGAAACACAACAGATGGACACTGTGAGGCATGCGATGCATGTGGACAGCGTTCGTTCACACATGTATACTCGTGTTTATGCACGCACACGCGACCACACACACACGCGCGCACGCACACACACACACACACATGCACACACACGCACATCAACGGCAAGCATACATCCGCACGTGCGTACCGATGACACCGAAGATCATGATGCAGATGTTCTTGACCTTGACCCAGGTCGGCAAGTTGGGCACGAGGCGAAGGTGCATCAGCGGGGGCAGAATCAGCGCCAGCAGGCCGGCACCGAGCGAACCTTGACGCACGTGAATACAACGTGACATGTGGTGTGGGCAGTTGAGAAGGCATGCGTGTTGTGCTGTGTTGTGTTGTGTTGTGTTGTGTTGTGTTGTGTTGTGGTGTGTTATGTTGTGTTGTGTTGTGTTGTGTTGTGTTGTGTTGTGTTGTGGTGTGTTATGTTGTGTTGTGGTGTGGTGTGGTGTGTGGAGGAATAGATGCGTGTTCACATGTGTGTGTGTACATGTGCACAAGTGCTCCCACTGTGCCCACATGCGTCCCATCAGACGCGAGCCCCGACCGATGAGGGAGATGATGAGGCCGAGGTGCGGGATGGCAATGGCGATGCCCACTGGCGACAACGACGGAGAGGAACGGAGCAATGGCCGCGGACACGTCGTGAAATACAACATCATCGCGCGTGGGACGTGACGCAGAGCACAGGGAAAGGGAGGGGCGGATATGACGGGGTGAGGAGGAGGGGGGAGGGCTTCACACACGATCGCTGCCAGCACGCACAGTCAACGACCGCACACGTGCATCAAAGCAAACTGAAGCTGACAAACACACAACCACAACCACAACCACAACACACACACGCACACACATACACGCACGCGCGCACTCCCTCGCTGAAGTCGTGTCAGAGCCATGTTGCGTTGCATCGCTGCATGTTACGCACCGACGATGAGGGTGATGATGGTTCGAAGACCGTTCTGGACAATCAGGCGCATCTTGGGCGATGCGAAGCGCGCCTTGATCCTGGCAGAGAGAGGGGGGAGTGTTGTGTTTGTGTTGGGGTTTGTTCGTGTGTGTGTGTGTGTGTGTGTGTGTGTGTGTGTGTGAGTGGAAAGAGAGAGGGCTCTGCCAGAGAAGGTGTCCTGCTGTTACAAGCAAACATCGTCACGCACACGCAATAACAAACAAACAAACAAACAAACAACCAAACAAACAAACAAACAAACAACCAAACAAACAAACAAGCAAGCAAGCAAGCAAACAAACAAACAAACAAACAAGCAAGCAAACACCCCCCCCCCCCCCTCAGAAAGACTTGGAACCCGCTCGTACTTTGGCATGGTGGTGCGCTCGATGATGCCAATGGGCGGGAAGTACTGAATACCGATGGACTGGAACAGCGCCAGGCACAGCGCAATCTTGACGCTGCCAAACAGGGCGTTGCTCGGCAGGTTCAGCGTGATGGAGCCCTGACGTGACAAGTGGGTTGACAGGGTGGGAGGGGGTGTGTTGAGGGTCGGCGTTTCAGCTGCACAAAGAGAACACACAAGACAGTGCGCTACCGAAATCCTCAGCACAATTTCACACACACACACACACACACACACACACACACACACACACACACACATTTCTAACACGACAAACAA